GTGTTTCTGTGGCTTCAATTTTATTCTCCAGTCCGAGGTTGGTAGGGGGGAATCCCCCCAAGGAGAAGCTTTCATGGGGATTTCATGGCAAGGGGTCCTCCAAAAGGCTTGTCTTCACCATCCTTCGTGGATGAGGGGGTGTTCACCCAAACAGTTTGATGTAGATGCACATCATTTGATTGACAGAACAACAACAAAAAACCCAAAATGACCAAATGCAATTGATAAGGAGGCTCCATTTTTAATTGGTACTTTGGTCAGTGTGAACTTGACAGGGTTAAATTACACCAGAGAGAGTTGATCAGGGTAAACGTAGTGTGAACTTCAATTTGGAGCAGATTCAGTATTGCAGCAATGAATCTGCCGGGATCTACCCAACACAAAAACACAAGTGTGAATGGGGCCAAAGAGTAGGCAAGAGCAGAAGTACAGTTGAAGGCATCCAGGTTCTAAGACTAGAAGGCTATAGGGCCCAATGCGAGTCATGGAGTAACTAAAGAAAATACTCCAAAAAACATGCCAAGTCTGGAAACCAATAGAGCAAGAAATGCCACACATTTTGCAGGAGTTGCTTCCAGCAAAGAAATGACCATGGCTCTGCTAATGTATAGCCAACTGTAAATCAGTATAGCTGGCCTAATTATTTCGGTTTGTTCTTTTTAAAATAAACTAAATCTTTTCCAGCTCTTGTGATTATGAGACTATGGTGCTCAGAAGGGTGAACAGCTCAGCATTAAATTCCTGCTTTGGAGGAGCTGAATGAAATGGTCTGGGATCTGCTTCCAATAGTTCCAGAGCAGAACTGTCAGCTTCCTCTGGCTCCAACTGGTGCCCATTATCTTGGCTCTCTTCTTCACCTTTCTAGGCTGAGTTCTTCTCCATGCAGGACATAACATCTCTCCCAAAAGCCAGTTTGGCAACCAGGTGTCCTATTGGTTGGTTGGTTTTAGAAAATTTGTCTGAAAGGAAAGGGTTTTTTCACATCCCAAAATCACCATAAAAGAGAGGATTAATGGCAAGATCATCTTTCTGGGATAGGGGGTTGCTTGCTCTTTACATCTTTTCAACAAAGAATTCTGATTCTTGAGAAGCTTCCTTCCCCTTGTTTGGGTTGTTTGCTAAAACATTGCTGAAATCAGTGGCTAGGTTTTGCCGAACTCCTGTTAAGATGAAATCTAATAAGTCTGGAACTCAGCATTTGTGAAATCTCTTTCCCTGTATGTCATTCCAGATTTAGGTAGAAAATCAGCTTGTTGTCTCTTTCTAGGCCCTGATTCTGGCAGAGGACCTTTGCTTGGTTTGTCGGACAAGATTTTTTTCCCCCCTCACTTAAATCTATTTTTCTGAGTGTACTTTCTGAGAGTCAGCATGGTATGGTGGTTTGAACATGTAACTACAGTTCTGGAGATCAGGGTTCAATTCCCTGCTCAGACATGGAAACCTGCTTGGTGACCTTGAGCAAGTCACACTCTCTGAGCCTCAGAGGAAAGCAGAGGCAAGCCTCTTCTGAACAAATCTTGCCAAGAAAACACTGTGATAGGGTCACCTTAGGATCACCAGAAGTCAGAAATAACATGATGGAATACAACAACAACTTTCCAAGATCCTCCAACTACTTACTCCCTTTATTTGGAGTGTGTGTTATTAAGGAAAGATTTTTATTGCTCCCACTACACTTTTGAACCTCCCTCCCTCCCTTGCTTAGCAAGTTTTAAATTCAAATTGTTTAGCCTCAATCCTTGCCACCTCCTGTAATTTAAATCCAGCCCCACCCAAGCATCCCTAGCCTGAAGGTTTCATTAGCAATGACAATAAAATCATCACAGCTTTGTGAGTTTTCTCATTTGAGGTAATATTTCCCCATTCTGATGTAATTGTGCTTTATTATTTGTATTTGCATTATCCCCTTATTGTTTGGCATTAATAAACCTGTCGCATAATGTTTGCTATTTCCCTATTGCAATCACTGTGTATATTTCAATTTTGTAAATAAGTTCTCATTGTAGCTCTGTGCAGAAGCAGTTGATCAAGTCCCGTCTTCCTGAGATGCATTAGTGCCAAAGTCTGAAACTTCTTTAAATGTATGTATACTCTGAACCAGGGGTAGGCAACTTTTCCCCTTTAAGAACATATATGGCCTCAGATATGTGCTCTGAGGGTTTATCTGGCAACATTACTAATCTTGCTCCCTCAACCCTCATATGCCACAGAAAACTGTGCTGTACGGTTCAGTGCAGGCTGGAGAACTCCTCCCACACAGAGAAGCTTCAGACACGACAACACACTGAATTTTCTCAAGGAGGCTTTTTAATCTTTGTTCCAATATTTACAATATCTCACACCGATTGACAAAATGCTCTGTTCACTATATACACCAGCACCACCACACAAGGTATTGGAGCTCCTCCCTTTTATACACATTCATTGCTAGAGCTTCTAGTCCAACCCCTTACTGGTGTGCAACACAGTTTCTGTTCCCCATGTAGCATGACTTTGCAGTATTGAAGCCTGGTGATGCCATCTCCTGCCTGTGTGTCATCATCTTCCTGTGACATAGCACCCTTCCAATTGCTTGCTCATCATAGCAGCCACATGATCTATAGTAACCTTTTGCCTTTGTCCCATATTGCTTCATCTAAGACATTTTCCTCTAGATGCATTCATCCTGACAACCACAACAGTTGGGATACAGTGGCTTACACATGGGTCATATATCTTATGAATTGGGCCATATATGAAACAAAGAAGATTCTCTTTGGTCAGGTCTATAAATGCGGGGAATACAGACTGGCCAAAAGGGCCAGCCTAGGGGTGGAGTTGGGATGTGGCGACCACATGCTGGGTGTCTCGACTCCACCCCAATGCTGCTTCACACCACCCACACAAACAGACGGCGGGCAGCATCAGGGTGCTCCCTTGCTGCAACGTTCTTTTTAGAGTAGCAAACTTCCAGATCAGGGCTGCAGCATGCAGTTGCTTTGACCCCAATCTGGCAAGGAAAAGGACAGTGGGACGCTGCCCATTAGAGGCTGTCTATTCAGCCCCTATGTCACCTATCAGCCTAAATGCATGATGCCAATAATTTATTGGAGACTGTCAGATGCTTGACAGCCTCCTTGTTTTTTGTAATTCTAGACAAGTATTCAAATGTAATAATTACCATGCTGACCAAAAGCCTGTTTGGTACAGTGTTTTATTCAGACTGTGGCCAGAAAGTTGCCTGTGGGAAATCTCCCTGTAGGATGGGTGCAACAGTGCTCTCCATCTTCTATTCCCTAGGAATGGCTATATAGAGGTATAGAGACATGCTACAGCAAAATCAGAAGGTTCATTGAGTTCTTGGTGGCTTGTCTTTAACACAGCACTCCATACCTAGCTGGGCACCCGTGACTGGGGGGAGATAGATTGCCTTTCTGCACCATATTTCATTGTTGTTAGTGAGTTTAATCAAATGGACCATGGCTAGGAGCATCCAGGAGTGGCATCACTAATGTGTGCAGCAAGGCTGAAACCAGAAGGAAGAAGCTGTTGCATCACAGTTGAGGAACAGGTAGGGGGACTAAGGGCCTAAGCAGACTGCCAGAAATAGTGCACATTAAATT